CATCAAGGGTCCAGGATGAAGAGAGATGAGCTATGGGCTTTTAACCTGTGCAAGTTTAAAATTCCTTGCAGTCACAAATTGTCAAATAGTTTTTTTTATGTTTGTTTTATAACAATCATGTTTAGAATGTTAAGCACATTCTATACCAAAATCCAGATTAGTCAGAGAGACACAATAGAATGGAGGGATGGATGGGTAATAGATAAATGACAGATAGATAGATAGATAGATAGATAGATAGATAGATAGATAGATAGATAGATAGATAGATTTTTTTAATGGGGGAAAGAATTTTATTTTAAAGAATGGGGTACACAGTTGTAGGGTCTGGCTTATCCTAAAATCTGCAGAACAGGCCAGCAGGTTGGGGACTCAGGAAAGAGTTAACATTGTAGTCTTGAATCCAAACATAGTCCAGAGACTAGATTCTTTCTTCTTTGGTGGGGAGGGAGGAGTCAGTCTTTTCTCTTGAGGACTTCAACCAGTTGGATGAGACCTTCCCACATTATGGAGAATAATCTGCTTTACTCAGGGTCTACTGATGTACTTAGTCATCTTTTTCATTACTGTAATGAGACAGCAGAGGTGGTTAACTTTATAAAGAAAAAGGATTTATTTTGGCTCATGGTTCTGGAGGTAGATGGTTCCAAGGGGCCTAATCTGAGAATGACCTTCTTGCTGGCGGGGTCTGAGGCAACACAAAGCATCACATAGCAAAAGAAAAGGGAATACAGATTATGTCTAGTTTTTCTCTCTCTTCTTAACTTTCCATCCCTAACTCCCAAGAGTTCATGTCCTTCTCATATTGTAAAATATGTAATCATTCATCCCTAGAAGTCCCAAAGTCTTAACTCATCCAGCACTAATTCAAAATCCAAAGTCTCAACTGAGACTCAAGGCAAACTCCTTGAAGCTTTGAACCCATAAAATCAAAACAAGTTACTACTTATGATATACAATTATGGGGCAGACAGGGTATATATTCCCACTCCAAATGGGAGGAATAGGAGAGTAGAAAGGAGCTATTGGCCCAAAAGAAGACCAAACCCAGAAGGGCAGACATTAAATCCCAAGGTTCCAAGTCTAGCATCTTGTGCACACTGCTATGACAGGTGAGTCCCCAAATCCCGGGCTGCCCTACCCCTCTCTGTTATATTCAACACCGTAGTGGTGCTTTCTACACCTGCAGGCTGATGTTGGTGGCTTTCCTGGGTAGACATGGCAGTCACTCTACTTTTCTGGGGTCTCCACTGAGGTTTCACCTCCACAACTGATTTAAATGTTAACCATGTTTATTATAAACTCATTAGGAATCTGCCATATGCCCCCAACATTATTGAAATCCACGTGAACTATCTCATGAACCAATTATGGAATTCATTATGGAAATGTCCCCCTATTCTAGTTGCTGCCTGGTATTAAAATGCAGGTACATCCCTCAGAATTCTGAGACTGATTGAAGTCTTGCCCTGTACTGTCCCATCCTGGGTCATTTCTTGGATTTTCTAGTAAATTCTCCTTCCCATATTTTCTAACTATATGTATTTTTCAGGTTACCATCAAGTTCAGTGCAAATCAGGCCACTTTCCTCTCCTCCATAAGGTGACTCAGGGGTCCAGGCTGGTTGGTCTCCATAGTCTTTGCCTAAAGGGAAGAGAGAAGGTGCAAGCCAGCTCATAGGACGAAAAGAATGAGGTTACCTCATTTTTCTCCTTTGCCAGAACTCAGCCACATGGTCCCAATATACCCACAAGAAGGTTGAGAAATATTATCTCACATGCCAAGCAGAGGAACAATGTAGCGAAGACATATGAAAAGTCAGTCCCAGAATGAGAGCTGAGCTTGCTCAAACTTCCAGTAGTGTGAGGCTGACAGCAGGGCCGAGAGAGCTGGGAAGAGGTCTCAGGGACAGAGGCCTCAGGGACGGGTCTTCTCTTCTGGTGCACAGTAGGTCTCCCCATGCATGGACCCCACCCCTCTGAGTCTTCTCATCTTTTTCAGGTCCTTATTCTCTGACCTTTCTCTACACTGGGGTGTCCAGGCCTAGTAAAGGCCTCCCAAGGTTTCAGGCCACTGCCTTCCTCAATGACCAGGCCTTCTTCCACTACGATAGTGAGGGCAGGAAAGCAGAGCCCCTGGGACCATGGAGCCAAGTAGAAGGAATGGAGGACTGGGAGAAGGAGAGCCAACTTCAGAAGGCCCGGGAGGAAATCTTCCTAGTGACCCTGAAAGACATCATGGACTACCACAAGGACAGCAGAGGTCAGTGAAATGCAGACCACAGGGAGGGTCTTAGCTCAAGAGGCAGCCCTATAAGTGTGAGTGGAAAGGGGCCAACAGGTTGAAGATAGTCCCTCCCCCAAAGGTGGAGCAGGAGGCACAAATAGAAATACACAGACCCATCTGGACCTAATGCCCCCTCCCATAGTGTCCTCCTTCCATATGGCCTCCCATCCTTGCTCCAGGCCTCAGCTCTCACAGGAAGTGAGGTTCACCCCTGTTCAGGGATGTTGAGTGGATGGTGAGTAACCTTGGAGTCAGTCTGAGCTGAGTTCACGTGGTACATTCTTCCATCAGTCGCTGCTTGACAGTGAGCAAGCTTTTTAATTATCTGGAGAATTGAGACCTGCCTCCATGAGGTTCTGGAAAACTTACCTACATCAATTCCATGAAGGAGGCAGCATGTGTTTTGCTCTCCCCTGCAACCCCAGGGCCTAGGACGAGGTGCAGCCAATACTATTTGCTCAACTGAAGTATGTTAAATGAAGAGAGAGAAAATACCGAGCACAACAAACTCATGGTCCATACTGAAAGCTCAGAAAGTGCTGGGTTCAAAACCACAGACTGTTAGAGTTTCATGAATGTTGAGTTTCATGAGTTACGTGATAGGGTCAGGATAAAAACCACACAGTCTACCCACCAAGGCAACCAATCAGACTTGATAAACTGCAGATATCAGATAATTATATAAGACAGGATATCAAGACTGGGCTTCTGAGTTTAAAAAAAAAAAACTCCAAGAAGCCACCTGAAATCTGAAGGTTTTCAAAAGGAGGCCAGAGTTAAGTATAAATCTGAAGGATTTAGCATGGAAAGTCTTGGTAAGGAAAATGACCTGGGCTGGTGTGTCCCAAATAGGAGCAGGAAGGACACCGGAAGACTGTAATAGAAATGTTTAAGTAAGTAATTATAAGAAAAGAGAAAAATATGAGCACAATATTAGAAGGTGATGGTAGCTAACTTTTTATTGGGCACTTATTATGTGCCAGGCCCAGATATCAATACATCTCACTTTCAATAAACTCCTAAAATAGCACTGCTGTCATTGCCATTTCAGAGATATGAAAAGCATAGAGAGATAAGGCTTAATCTCATGAACAGGCCAGTGTGGTGAGGAGAGATCTGGGATTTGCACTCTTAGAGCTATTCAGACTGAACGTTCCCCAAGAAGGTCAGTTTCTGAGAGTCATTGTTCACAAAGGGGTTGAGGCTTTAAAAACTCAGAAAAAAAGATGCCAACCACTGGAAAAGAGGGGAAAAGGGATCAAATTATGTTTTCTTATGTGGTCAGATGAACTCCACCTAGAACTGAGAGGAAAGGAGAGATCCAAAAGTTTTCTTCCTATTTGGTTGCAAAGTGTGCAGGAATGAGAGTCATTCAGCTGGATTTCATACCAGGCTGATTGGCTCCCTGTGGGTTTGGGGGAGGCTTCAGGGTCTCACACCTTTCAGGGAATGTTCGGCTGTGAGATCCAGAATAATAGAAGCAATGGGGCGTTCTGGAGGTATGCCTATGATGGACAGGACTTCATTGAATTCAACAAAGAAATCCCAGCCTGGGTCCCCTTGGACCCAGCAGCCCTGAACACCAAGAAGAAGTGGGAAGCAGAAAAGGTCTACGTGCAGCGGGCCAAGGCATACCTGGAACAGGAGTGCCCTGAGATACTGCAGAGGTACCTGAACCACAGCAGGACTCACCTGGACCAACAAGGTACTCGGAACTTCCTGGGACCTACTCTCAGTAATGAGCTGAGAAAGACCAAGATGATCTCAGGCTGGGAGCTCAGGGGGTCATCTCAGGCTGCTTCCATCCACCCCTGGGAATCCCTTGGTCCCCCACTTTTCACTTCCTAGAATTCATTCCTTCCCTGGGAAGAGAAGAGGTGAGATCCAAAACCAACATTTATCCAAATTTCAAGTTGGAGAAGCCAGGAAAACCACTGTCTTGATGGTAACCTTCTCTAAATAACCCCCTATTTCACAGATGAAGAAATTGGGGTTCCAAGAGGCTAAGTTAATACTAGCCATAACAGACAGAATCAGGTTTCAAATTCCATATTTCAGAGTTCAAATCCCATGAGCACTTTTTTCTACTCCTGATGCCTCTTGTTTGTGGAGAGATGTCCAGCTTGGAAGGACAAGCAAGTATGAACAGAACTAAGTGCCACAAACTGAGGCTTTGATTGGAGAGGTAGGGAGAGAGAAGAGTGCAACAGAGCAGAGAGGAGTCTGATAGACAGAGACACAGGAAGAGCCAAGGAGCTGGGTCGAGACTAGAGAAGAAAGGGGCTACAAACCCCACTGAGATTTGGACACACCAGGGAAACATATAGGGAATTCACAAATTGCTGCTATCATAAGTCAATACACAGTCAGGTGGGAAGAAGGGTAACAGAGTAGACATTCCATGACCCAACAGAGAGCCTCAATCTTCCCTGATCTTCTTAAAGATTTCTTAGGGGAGGTGGGCGCACAGCTTAAAGATCTGCTGATAGTGACATCTGAGGGTTTGGGGATGGAAGGGACATGACAAAGGAAAAGTCTACCTCAAGCCCTCAGTGTCCATCTCCTGTCCCTCCACAGATCCTCCCTCTGTGTCAGTCACCAGCCATGTGGCCCCGGGAAGAAACAGAACACTCAAATGCCTGGCTTATGACTTCTACCCACAAAGAATCGGTTTGCGCTGGACTCGGGCCGGCAAGGTGCAGGAAACTAAAGCAGGGGGAGAGATTCTTCCCAGTGGAAATGGTACTTACCAGTCCTGGGTGGTGGTGGGAGTCCCCCCTGAGGACAGAGCCCCTTACCTCTGCCTTGTGGAGCACAGTGGGCTGGCCCAGCCCCTCACAGTGCCATGGAATGGAAGGCAGAAAGCCAGGGCTGAAGGTAAATTGGGGACTCCTCAGTAGTCACATAAGTTCAAAAAAAAAAAAAGACAAAAAAAAAAAGAGAGAGAGTTGAACTTTAGAAATCATCATCAATGTCACCAACAAGGTCCCAGGAAAACAGTGCAAAAGACAGTGCAAATCCAGATAGTGGATTTGGAGACAGGAGACTTGCCACTGAGCTCACTCTCACTGTTCACCTCCTAAACTCTCCATGGTCCAGTCTTTAAAACCTCACCCACAATACTCCCCTTGCCTGGCCCAGCAGAGAAACATGTTTTCAAACTGTAAACTGGCTACAAAAATGTGAGCTGACTGAATCATTCATTCTGCCCCTTCCCCAAGCATTTGATTCATCTGAAATTCTTGGTACCCAACTGAAATAATGGTTCACCCTTGGGCATATGGACCTTGGGATGTCTCCAGCATGGCTTAGGCCACCCAGTCCTGTGGACCTTGTTCTAGCATCCACTACTGACATCCACAGATGAGGCCATGACCTCATTGGCTGTCAAGCCTTGAAATCTGTAAAACCCAACACTTCTGTACCTGTTTTCCTTGCTCCCTGTGAGACATGGTCCTCCACTTCAGCAACAAAACCTTTCCCATATACATTGGCCCTGAACCAGACGCAGCCAGAGCTTATTTAAGAGGCTTCCCCTCTCCAGGCGCACTTCCAAGGAAGCAGGAATCAGCCTTGATGTTCTTGGACTCCCTCCAAGTCCATCGGAGTGTGTTTTTTCAATTGAGTCACCTCTGCCATCCGCAGGATTAATGCCCAAGGGTAGAGCAGAACCCTCACAGCTGACCTTTCTACTAAGCCTTACCTACCATGGTTGTGTTCTTCTTTCCTACATGGAAAGAACTAACTCTCTTTATAACATGCCCTCAGCCTCCCACTCTGGATTACTCCAAATTCAGTCCTCCCAGCTATAAAGTAGTCAGAAGCGGCCTTCCAAATTCTGAGTCAAGAGGCTTCTCTTTCTTGAAAGTCTGAATTCAAAGATTACATTTCCGGTTTTGTTTTTGTTTTTGTTTTAATACTTTGGGTTCAATTTGAATATCAAAAACTGAGAAATTGGGCTGAGGATATAGCTCAGCTGGTAGAGTGCTTGCCTCCCATGCACAGGCCCTGGGTTCGATCCCCAGCATGGCAAAAAAAAAAAAAAAAAAAAAAAACCCTGAGAAATTATTTTCTACAAGAAACCAGAGGAAAGAAAGAGCCCCATTTGAACAGTAGAGAGTTGCATGGAAGAAAATCAAAATAGAGAGAAAAATACAGCCATTGATCCTTCAAAATATGATAAGACTTTGTACAAATAAAAAGTAATAGGATAAACATTGTGAAACAAAGAGGAAACCAAAATCAACATAAGTAGGATGGGCTAAGGAAGACTGGAATGTAGGATCTGATCCAATCTATGACAGGAAGAGATGAAGGGGTGGACAAGGAGAAGGAAGCCTCAATAAACAAGTCTTGGTCAAGCATCCAGGTGGAGGGGGAGAGGGACACAGAGACATTCAGAAACTCAGGGAAAACTTCCTGGAGGGAGTCAGATTTCAGAGGTATCAAAAGAATGCTCCTAAACAGTTGGATGTGAGACTGCTGAGAGGGGAGGGTCACAGGGCCTGCCAAGGAAAATGACCAGGGAGCAGTCCATGGGCATGGACTGGGCACACCAAGAGGAGAGAGGAGTCCTGGAAACCAAACATGGGTCACTGTGTGCCCACTTGTCATGATGGGCAACGGGTGCGACTTATGCAGTCCAGAGGGAGAAATAAAGAATTTCCACATGCTTCTCCTCTAGTCAATGTTTTATTCACTGAAATCACTCAATACAATTTCACTCTATAGGTTCTTAATCAAGAAACTGACAACCCTTAATGCTAGGCACTGTGATAGAATCAATTCATAGCAAACAATTCTAGATTAATTCTAAGCACTGCCAACACACTTAAGCATGACAGGCTCATGATAGACATTCCCCCTGCATGTTAAGCTCAAGTGTCAAATCAAGGGGCTGGGATTGTGGCTCAGTGGTACAGCGCTTGCCTAGCATGCACGAGGCACTGGGTTCGATCCTCAGCACCACATAAACATAAAATAAAGATATTGTGTCCACCTAAAAAACTAAAAAATAAGTATTTTTTAAAAAAGTGTCAAATCAAACATCTCAAGCCTTAGGCTCTGAGTCCAGCAGATGCACACTCAGACCACAGTGATCAGATTAGAAATCCCAGGCAGGCTTCTCCTGGGGTGGAGCTGATGTTAAGGAGAGGGTGATAGGGAGAAGTTGCAGCTCTCACCAGGGTCAAGATGTGGCTGTAGAGTTTGAGAGAGGTGAGGAAAATGCAGAGAATCAGGCAAACGATGAGAAGAGTTGGGATGTCAGTCCAGGTCCTCATCAGGCTCTCCAGCGTGAGAGCATCAGTGTTGGCTGGCTAATGTCAATTCATTTGCTCTATTACTTATACCAAATTCGGGGCGTTTTGAGACACACACATACCACACACACACACACACACACACACACACACACACACACACACCCTGCGCCTTTCAATCCTTATCAGCTGCCACCAGATTTCTCAGTGACATCATTTACTCTGGGGTTAAAGCATCTGGTCTGATGGTCCCCACCCTGATCTTTTCACCTCTCTCTCTTATCAGGTACTTTTCCCTCTTATCTTGGAGGACAGCCTGCCAGAGGCTTCACTATGAGTTTATCAGAGTGGGGAGAAGTGACTTGTTTGTACCCAAGGGCCATACTGGAGGGCTCCGTTAGGCATGCCTGGTGAGACTGCAGGTTTCAAACTGGAGTTTTTAAAATGGAGTTGCTTAAGTTCAGGCCTAAGGCCATCCTCACACCACTCAACAAACATCTCATTGTTTCCACCAACCTTTTTAAGGAGATGTGTGGCCCAATTTCCTTTCTAAAGGAAGATGATTTAAAATTAATTTCTTTTGAAAATTCAGCAATTGCCCTTGATGTAACTGATTTCATTCTGAACATAAAACTAGCCATAAAATAAGAGCTCAGTATCACTGGTCTTTGGACAGAGTGGGTAAAAGGACTAGGATTCCCGCTGGGTACACCCAAAGCCACCCCCAAGTGTAAAACCGCTTGCAAAGCTCACTGTGCCAGTAGAATTTTCTCATAAATGATTTGGTGTTTATTAATAAGATTACACATTCACACAGAGGGAATAAACTGTTCCCACAAGAATATGTTCTAGGAAAAGCACTGGTTCAGGGCAAATCTGTGTCGACAAGCCCCTTATAGTAGAGCAAAGTTTTGAACCCAAATACAGAAGAAAGAAGAGACTCTAGCACTTCATTGAGAAAAAATGGACTCATCAAACTAAACACCCCCATTCCCATCACTGAAACCAAGATCCCAATGGTATAGGTACCCATCTTCTCTTCCCTGCACTTATTTCACCAGGGGAAATGTCTTTCCTCCTACAGAAGAACTATCCTTCCCCATGTGCTCTGGACCTCATCCTCTTTCTCCTACTCAAGGACCTTATTGACCTGGTTCTCCTGTCTCTCTCCAACATTGCTAGAATATAACCATATTATAGTCTCTCCCCTTTTAAATAAAGCAAAACTTCCCATAGCAGCACCTTCCCTCCAGTTTTCCCTCCATTTCTTTTTTTGCTTCACAGAAAAATTCATCAAAAGAGCTGACCATGCCCACTGCCTCCATGTCATCACTTCCCATCCATTCTCCAACCACACCAGTAAAGCAATCATTATTTCCACTAAAATTGCTCTTTCAGCATGTCTGTAATCTCAGCTATTCAGGACTGTGAGGCAGGAGGATCCCTTGAGCCCAGGAATTTGGGATCAGCCTGTACAACATAAAGAGACTCCATGTCCTTTTTCCCCCATTATTTTAATTGGTGCATGACAGTTTTCCAAGATGGTGGAATTTGTTGTTACATATTCATACATACATACTATATTAAAATCTAATTTGGCCAATATGATTCCCGAGTATTTCCCTTTTCTCTCACAGAGAGACTCCATGTCTTAAAATATAGAGAGAAATTGTCCTTTCCAAGGTCACCTAGGCACTCCATACTCTCACTGCCAAAGTCACTTACCCATTTCTACTCTAATCTTGTTCAAGCTCTTTGCAGCATCTCACAGTTGGACCCCTCCTTTCTTCTTCTTTTCATAGATTCAATAGGTATTTAGTGAGTATTTATCATGTGCCTCATCTCTGTTCTAGTAATATGACAGCAAATGAGACTTAACATGTCCCTGATTTCATGGAATTTATATTCAAGAGGAGAGGTCCTGGCCATCAGTATGCAAGCCAATAAATAAAATGCTATGGAAACATAAAACTAGGTGGCAAGGCAAAAGGTGATTGGGAATGGAGGGAGGAAGTGGCCTTTCTAAGGAGATGATATTGAATTCACATCTAAGAGATGAACAGGAAGAAGTCATGGGAAGATCTGGGGTGAGCATCCTGGGCAGAGAGCACAGCAAATGTCAAGGCCCCAGGATAGAAAAAATCTTGGAGTGTTTGAGAAACACTGTAGAGACCAGTCAGGCTGGAACATCATGAACAAGAGGAGAGCAATCAGAGATGGTTCTGAAAGGGCCAGCAGAAGCCAGACCATGCAGGGCCTTGTAGGTATTGGTAAGGAATTCAAATTATTAAGCCTCTGAAATAGGGAGTGTTGGTTTTGGTAACAGGTTGGCCTTTCCTGGGTAATGCATGGACCTTCTCCCTGCTTCTGTATATACCCTCTCCTAGGATTTTCATCCATTCTCATGAATTTAAAACCCATCAATCTGCTGAAGAGTCCCAAAGTTAGATCTTCAGTCCACACTTCTCCTGGGAACCAGAACTAATTTCTCAGCTCTCTTTTTCCTTACCCACCATGCCCACTCCATCAGGAGTCCCATCCAATCTACTTCCAACATCATCCCTGTCCTCACTGGGGAGAGTGGTGACAGAGGATGGGAGAGCAGTGTCTGAGATTGGGGTCTCGGATGACCTCATGGCTGTGGCAAGCCTAGCGCCTGGGAATGTTCCTATGCAAGGATGCAGGATGCCTAGCTGCTATGGCAATGCCCTTCATGAGGAGACTCTGAGGCAGAGTCTTATCAACCTGGACCTTGATCTCAGGCACATAGTTCCTGGGAATAGAGGAACTCTCCTGTTAGGCAACCACAAAGTTTCACCAGCTCCACTATTTCCAAAGCTGCTACTTAACAGTAACTTTAAACAATGGACTTTCTCGAGAGCTACACAAAGCTCCTAACATTACACATTGCTACTGTAAAATACAACTGTGGAAAAGCTACATAAATGTTTCTAGCCCTCTAACTTTCTGAGTATGAAAAATAATGTCTGCATAGTCTTTAACCTGATAATGAGACACATATAAATAAAGATTGCTGGAGTAACTCTTTAGATCTGCTTCTCCATCAGCACTCCACCTGATCCCAGTTATTTTATCTTCAAAACCTGCATCGGTGAGTCTTTATTTTTCTAATCCCCCATAGCCCTTCTTGGAACCTGCTTGATTGGCCTCGCTGGTCACAGCACTCGCCTTCTACAGCCATCACCCAGTCAATGGAGACCCAAGGTCCAAGTGGCTTCAGATAGACTGGAACATTCTGAATCCTTAGTCTGCTATAAGAAAAAGCAACTCCCTGTGTCTCACCTGAGGAACAGTTACAAATGCTATCAAAGTAATTGTTATACTACATTGTTTGGGGGATAAGGAAAAGGGGGAAAGATCTGTATGTGTTCAGTAAAGACACTTTTTGTTCCAAGTATTTCCGATCCACAATAGGTTGAATTGACAGATGCATAACCGCAAATACAAAGGTCAGAGGGTACTTTCAGTGCTGTCAATCACTGCCTGGATTCCCAGAGTAGCCAGGCCCAGGACCAGCCTGCAATCCAATCAGTGATATTCCTTTCTCCATACCCTTCTTTGCTCTCTTACAGCTCAGATCTACTTCTTGCCCTGTATCCACGGTCGTATGCTAAATTTCCAGTTAGGCCCCATGTTTCACTTCCTCTACTTAGTCCGCCTGACCCACCTACAGATCCTCTGTTCATACCCATCTCATTAGCCAGGCCTGGGTCGGGGTGGGGGAGCCCTCTAGACACGATGTGGCAGCTCCCAAGGCGCCCTCTTGTGGCCAGAAAGCAAAAAATGCAGGCTGACTCCTCTCACCTGGGTTGGGACTTTTCCAGGTAAGGCGTCTCACTCCTGGTGAAATCACGATGCCTTCTCCCTTTCCTTGAATCATTTCTCAGACCTCAGCACCTTTGCAGCTGGTGTTTCACTGAAATATTCAGAGACCATACTGGACCAGATTACATACTGGATTACTAGGCCCCTCAGCAGGAGAGCTATATAGATAGCGGTTCTTCCTCCCATTCTAAGCCCTAGGCCCCACTGGCAAGCAGGACAACTCAAAAACCCTCTGGTTTTCCTTTTTACAATTATTCTCCCACGTCATTCATATCTTCATGTTGCACTCCTGGCTGTTTATAGGAGAAGATCAGGCTCTGCCCCATATATCACCTTCTAGTAGATGCTCTTCCTGCTGGGTGAGTGGATCTGGGTGAGCAGCCTCAGAGACTGTGATGATGAAAGTGCCTATCACTACCCTTCTCTCTGGCTTCACTATGAGTTATAAAACCTCCAAACTGTGACTCTCAGGCTTTGGAGGATCAGTGATCTTCAGAGCTTTTGATAACTTGTTCATATCCTTTTGAATAAGATGGTATAGTTAATGGGTCCCAATTAAGGTTTTTTTA